ATACGAAATGTTATTTCTCGCTCAGCTCTGTTACTCCGCCGTGTTGTTAGATCAGCTGATGTCTTCGCCTTACATGTATTTTGTTTTTATTTTTACTGATGTTACAGCACACCCATCAAAAGAAAAAAACAAAATACATGTAAACTTTGGGGTGAATTGAGATTTGGCATAACACCCGCAATACAAAATACATGGGCATCGGCGTAGCCAGAATGAAATTTAGGGGGGGCCTCGACCCTATTAAGCTGGCATTTCAGGGTACTATTTTATATATATATAAGTAAAATTTTAAAGTTAGGGGGAGGCTCGAGCACCCCAGCCCCTACCTGGCTACGCCTATGTACATGGGATTGTTGTATTTGCTCTGCCGCTGCCTCCTTGTATAATTTCGTCTTGCAACTGACGTTAGCGCCTCATTAGTATAAATATTAGGGGTCTTCATCAAAACTCTTGATAAACTTGATAAAGTGATACATTTATCATTTTGACAAATGAACTGTCAAACTTTGTATGGAAATCGATTTAACCAAAGTTCATCACTTTATCAAACGACTTCGCTTTTGCTACGAAAACATAAAAGCAAATGAACACAATGTACGAGGTAAGAATGAAACGTAACTAGCCATAAAAGTTAAATAATAAGCAATGGGTATTCATGGAAACGCGCAAATGCCTCGTAATCGCGTAAACCTCGTAAATAACCTGATTTTCCATACAAAATGAAGTAAGTGGGTGCACATTTGTGGACAGAATGTTGGCATTGAAAAATCAACCCGTGGTAATGATATGCGATTGTAAAACACTTTCAATCATGAAAACCAAATTTTATGAACTTTTTTTGTTTATTGTCATCAAGTTTCACTTTGTATATTTTATAATAAATACCAATCTAGTTGCACTCAATCACCGCGCCTTTTTCGTTTTTTTTTTTTTTTTGTTTTCATTCTTAGGCAGATGGCAAAAACGCTCAGAAATATACTTTTTTCTTGCTTCTTTGATTAGGTAATTTTGTATTTTTGGTTCATGAAAGAGAATGAACAAGAATTGTTCTACTACTTGAATCATGTAAATCGAGTGTTAGTTTACGTTCCTTTTTGTGCCATGACTTTTGTGATGAGAGTTGGCAGTCCTATTGCAGCTGCTTTCCCATTGCACACTAGATGTCACCCTAAATGTCAAACCAGCTGACATTCCTTCCCTTTTGACATTTGGCGCCAAAACAAGCGTTTTGCCTTTCCATCTTGAGCGGAATTTTGCAAAAGTGATCATTCCAAAAAAAATTCATCGTGTCGTGTGCTTGTGAAATCTAATTAACTGCTTCAATTTGAACGGATTTTTAACTTTGAACTACAAATAAACATCAAGATGTTCGAAGCACGCTTAAACAATGCAACTATCTTGAAGAAAATCTTGGACGCCATCAAAGACTTGCTGAATGAAGGCACCTTCGACTGCAGCGATTCGGGCATACAGGTTAGTGTTCAATAAAGTTTTCCACCCGTGTCGAAACTAATTTTTAAATTTATAATTCTAGTTGCAAGCTATGGATAATTCCCACGTTTCGCTGGTTTCTCTGACGCTACGTTCAGATGGCTTCGATAAATTCCGCTGTGATCGCAACCTTTCTATGGGCATGAATCTGGGCAGCATGGCAAAAATTTTGAAGTGCGCTAATAATGATGATACAGTGACAATTAAGGCACAGGATAACGCCGACACTGTAACTTTTATGTTTGAGTCGCATAATCAAGAAAAAGTGTCGGACTACGAAATGAAATTGATGAATCTGGACCAAGAACATTTGGGTATACCGGAAACAGACTATGCATGTGTTGTACGCATGCCAGCAATGGAATTTGCACGCATCTGCCGTGACTTGGCGCAATTCAGTGAATCGGTTGTTATTTGCTGCACCAAAGAAGGTGTAAAATTCTCAGCGTCTGGTGATGTTGGCTCAGCTAATGTGAAATTAGCACAAACTTCAAGCGTTGACAAGGAAGAGGAAGCAATCGTGATCGAAATGCAAGAGCCTGTCGTACTAACATTTGCTTGCCGCTACCTAAATGCATTCACAAAGGCGACGCCTCTTTCAAATCAAGTGCAGCTGTCGATGTCGGCCGATGTGCCACTAGTGGTTGAATATCGTATCGCTGAATTGGGACATATACGCTACTATTTGGCGCCGAAAATTGAAGATGATGAGAATTAAGAGTAGATTGAATGATTTTGCACCATGCATTGCACTGAATCGGTATATCTCACATTTGTATTTGGTATAAGCGTATATTAAATATTAACTAATTTTAAGCATTAACATATGTAATACCCCCTGTCGTATTGCTTACATTTCAAAAACAATTTATACACATAATTATTAAAGTTTTGTATTTACAGCATATGGTAATTAATAGCAATTGATAAAATAAAATCAAATTCGTGTATTGAGTACAAGTAATGGCTTTTGTACTTTTTAAACTTGAAAAAAGAAAGCTTCCAGAGATTTGTCTAATGTGGATTGCCACAACGGTGTAGCAGCACCTTCCCTTCAAGAGCGTCTCGTTTTTTGCTAAGTGGAGGTTCTCGCAACGAGTTTCCTCGGGTAGATTTGGCAACGTGCATGGTTTTCCGTTTGTACGACTGCATTTCCAAGTTGACTCACAGTCTATTGGGTTTAGGTGTTGAAAAAATCTTCCCTATTCCAAAAAGCAACCCACTATGTAATTACTGAAGTGTTTGCAATTCTCATATTAGGCATGAAGTAAGAACTAACTAAAAAATCTCGATTTATAAAAATGTTTTCCTTTTTTTTGTACTCAACAGTGAACCCATGTATACATACATGCATAGTTCGAAGTAAAATGCATTCAATAACATATAACTTAATTCTAGTAGTTTAGACCAAAACTGTTCATATGGAAAAAATGTAACTGCGTGCGAAATTTGTCTTTTGTGGTCCCTAATACTTCTGCTTCATTCCACAATGTAATTGGGATGCACGACCAGCAATGGATCGTCCGGTTCCTCCGCGTCTTCCTCGGTGCGCCGCGGACTCTTGCCGGGCTGTCGCAGCTCAGTTGTCTTCAAAGGTATAATCACTTGATCGTGATATATTAAACGATCAATAACTTTCTCGATTAAATGTTTGCGTGAGATAAGCTCCTCTTCTGTTTCAATTTGATCGGCTACTTGCTCTAAATACCAGGTAACCACATCACTGCGCTTCATACCAGTATCGGCTCCTTCTGTCTCGCAGCGTGCTTCCTCGTTACGCATATGCAGCACCAGCATAGTGGATAGATTTTTATAATCTTCAAATGACAATGTAAGCTTTTTCTTTTGCAAAGCGCTTCCACCCGCTTCAGCAACCTCTTCTGCGTATGCACCATCCGTGGCAATGATATTAGTGGAACCATTGGCTACTGCAGCGTTATTTTCCATTTCTACATCGCCAATATAGGCATCTTCATTACCTTCGTCATCGTCCAGATGAATGTCCTGCTGTTCGACTCGTATAATTGATTTGTTAAGCAACCGATAAGCTTCTTTTACGTGTCGCTCCTGTACTTCATTCATACATTCAAGTTTCGCCATTGCTTCACTTAGTCGAATCATTGACTCCAACTGACGCACCGTTATACGCCACGTACTACGACCCGCAACACCTGTGTCACGTTGTCGCAAGTGCCCATAATTCTCAACGAGCAACTTCTTCGCTTCTTCGCCAATAATTGGCTTGAATTGGCGTGAGAATGTGATGTAGCGCAATACTTCTTCGCGCGTATAAGCACATACAACGGATTCTTCTATATGCGAATGTAGATCGACAATTTTGCGTGCTATGCCATAGTCCACAACTTCGTTGCATTCATCTACGAGTATGAAGAATAAGTCGAAACGTGACATAATAGGTGCTGACAACTGTATGTTCTGCTGCAAGCTTTTTGTACGATCATACCGGCCGTTAATGGGATTTGCGGCCGCCAAAATTGAAGTGCGCGCATTTAATGTGGCACGCACACCAGCTTTCGCCAAAGAAATTGTTTGCTGTTCCATAGCTTCGTGGATGGCGACTTGATCGCGCGGATCCATTTTGTCGAACTCATCAATGCAGCAGATGCCGTTGTCAGCCAACATTAGGGCGCCAGCTTCAATAACAAAATCGAAACTCTCCTCATCACGCACCACGGCAGCAGTAAGACCAGCTGCAGTAGAAGCCTTGCCGGATGTGTAAACTGCGCGCGGTGAGAAGTCGGCGACTTGACGCAGAAACTGAGATTTGGCAGTACTAGGATCACCTACGATGCAAACGTTGATATCACCACGCAAAGTTGTTTCTGAAAAAGGTGAGTATTTTTTAGTATGTCACATTCAGCAAAATTGCAATGCATCTGAACTTACTTTCATGTGTAGTTTTTCCGACACCACCAAAGAGTTGAAGCAAAACGCCACGTTTGACCTCATCGTTACCATAGATGGAAGGAAACAAGCTGGTGATAAGATTATTGTACAAATTACGATCCTTGGACATTTCATAAACTTTGTTCCATTCAGCATCGGTCATTTGTTTTTTCATATCCTCCGCAGTTACCTCAGACATAGGCAGGTCAGTACCGCCAAAACGTGCTGTTGTTGCTTGTACACTACAGGCCAAGAATGACATGCGATAGTTAAGTTCTCGGGTACCCAATTCCTTTAAACCAGTCACACCCTCAGGCCCATCTCCTGGTTTATGCCGCGAACCCATATCAGCTTTAGCGCCGGGCATATTTAATACACCTACATCGGGTACAACTATCAATGTGCCAGTAAAATCGTAACGGTCTCCCGCTTGCACAGTTTCCACCAATTCTGAACGCAAAATAATTTCAACAGATCTCGGTATGCAACCGCGCGGCAACTCCGATTGTGTTTCCTGTATGCGTATTTTTTGGAAATCAACAAAAAGTGATTTTTCCACATCCAGCATGAAACGACGTCGATTACTACAAACAGGATTTCGACATATAGTTGGATTGGTGAATTTAAATTGCTGCTCTACATTTCGAATTTCCGTTTGACAATCTATGCACATGAAAGTACCGGTCACAAGTTCCGGATGTACAGGATGTGTACGTACCACTTGGCCGCAAATGCGGATCAAAGTGCCAATCTTGGAGGTTGTTAAGTCGCGCACTTTGTGACGTGTAGGCACATCAGTGAAAGATATGTAACATTCTTTCTCATTTTTCAGGCCGCAACGATCCTTGACGAAGTTAGAAACCGATTGGCAGAGGAAAGGGTATATTCTGTAAAGAGACACATACTACTTATAAAAGTTGCGCACATTTGCACACACAACATACCGAAAGTATTCTTCAATAATTGTGGTAGCCAAATTCTGATTGTACTTCTCGACATCATCGAAAGACACTTCCAATGTATAGCGATCCGGCGATTCTAAATCTGCAGCAGGTTTCACATACTTAATTTCGCCATCTTCCTTGAATCTGTATTAAATATTTTTTAATATTAAACCGTGTCACTTTAACTAGACGCAAATGCAACCACCATTGAACTTACTCTTCCAAGAAGTCCTGAAAAAGTTTCTGACATCGCAACCCCACCTCATCTTTTACACGTAATTGTCCGATTTGTGCATCTGCTACATCCATGATTTGAGTTCAGATTTATCACGAAACAAACAAATCGCCGCTTATTTTAATTTTTGTCACACAATTTCCCAAACACGCTGACGGCGAAAGATGCTTGAATGGAATTTGACAGCAGCGGCGTTGTTTCGGCGCGCAAAATCTTCTTCTTATCGCCCAATCAGTTGTCAACAACAGCTTGGCAGCACTGCGAATGTAGCAGAGAACGTAAATTTTTACGACGTACATATGTATCCTATTTCCGCCATGAAAATCAAATCGTCGAGCTGGAAATGCGATGTGAAAAAATGTTGCAAAAAAATTTTAGTAAAAATTGTGACTATAAAGTGTATATAAAAGTGAAGAAAGTGGGTTTCGGGAACAAATTGACTGTGGGTAATGTAGTGAGTGTTCTGAACATTAAGATAACGTTTCCGTTTGTCTGAGACCCGGAACTTAAAAAGGCCAAAGGAAATCAATTGAATCGCGACCGCGCTCTCAGTCAAGATGGAGGTCGCGCTTTGAAGTTGTGAATTTGTGGTAAGTTGAACTAACTAATTGCCACTAAAAACCAAAAAAAATTGTGGAGTTTTAAATTAAATGAATGCCAATGATTGTAAATAGCGGTTATGCCACAAATTGACAACTGTAGCGTAAGCAAGTACAAGTACTTATGTATGTGTACGCTCATATATTCATATGCCAATCCCACGACAGCCGGTTCTACGTACCGGAATGACTCGGGTTTTACCCGACCAAGGGCTGTTGTTTCGGCGATCTAACCCCGTTTAGGTCGGCGAAGTATCTCAGAAGTTGTTCGTCCATAGGGCTACATTCGCCACGTTTTCTCCTACTCAGGCTGGCATCGAGTCAAACCCAGGGCCAGAAACCTACACCTGCTGTGTATGCCAGAGACGACTACACCTCAACTCCACCTCTGTCAAGTGCAATGCTTGCGAGGGGTGGTGTCACCTCAGAGTCTGCTCAGGACTACGGACACATCGGCAGTGGACCACGTCGTATGTGGCCCCCTGCTGCTCAAACAGAGCAGCCTCCACGGCTAACCTTAGTCCACCAGAGCAGCCTCACACAGTCACCACAGCACAGCAACATAATAACACCACAGACCATAGAACACACAGCCGCACCACCACCCACACGCCGCCGCCAACAACTCCTGGTTCCTCCTAAATTCTGAACGGTATGTCCGGCCAGGATATTCCGTAATGTGACACCAGTCAAGTGCAACACCTGCCTTGGCTGGTGCCACTTTAGGGCATGCTCAGTTCTGCGCACTACGCGAGGTTGGACGAGGAACTGCGCTGCTCGGTCGCAGACCCCAACTGCGACGCCTCCCGCCACAACCACAGGGCGGCAACCATCACAGCAGCGCACACAGCCAATGGCAGTAAGAACACACACATCCCGTAAGTTCCGCAGGGCTGTCACTGCTGCTGCAGCTCGCTTCATACCGGCAGGATGTATAACGGACCCAAGTCCAAACTTCCCTGCCGAAGCGGCTGTTCTAGCCGATGAGCGCGACCGCCTTCGTCAGGCCGATCCCGGAGATCCCCGTATTAGGGATCTCAACGCGGAGATTCGGCAACTAGTAAACGTACATAAGCGGAAGAAGTGGGAGGAGCATCTGAAGATCTGTAACTTCGCCTCTGGTGTGAGTAAGCTTTGGTCAACCGTGAGGTCACGGTCCAATCCGACGAAGCACGACGACAGAGTCGAAATTTCTTTCGGCGACCATGCTTCGTCGGACCCGGAGCGATGCCCGAGCTATTTTAGCCGGCAGTTCATACTGCATCCTCCGGTGGACAAAGCCAAGCGTCGAGTGACCAGAAGGCTGCACAAACTGCCAACAACTTGTGCCCCCTTGCTTTCACTTGCGGTGAAGTTCAGGTGGCCACCAGGAAGGCGAAAGCCTCCAAAGCCATGGGTTCCGACGGAATATGCATGCTGATGCTGAAAAATTTGGGTCCTGCGGGGGTAGCGTACCTAACGGAGGTCCTCAACTTGTCCATGGCCACTCTCATCATCCCAGACATCTGGAAGGTGGGGAGAGTGGTCCCACTGCTCAAACCGGGGAAACCAGCCAACATAGGAGATTCTTATAGTCCGATAACACTCCCTTCCCCGGTAGCGAAGACACTCGAGGCCTTGCTACTCCCGTACTTCACAAACCACTTGACCCCCGCGAAGCATCAGCATGGCTTTCGTAAAGTGCACAGTACAACAGCAGCACTTAACGCCATAAACACTCAGATAACTCGTGGTCTTAACTGTAAACGTCCCTGTGAGAGAACGATTCTAGTAGCGTTGGACCTGTCAAAGGCTTTTGACACTGTCAGCCATTCCACGCTACTAGAAGATATAAAGGCTTCCTCTCTCCCACAGAGGCTCAAACGGTGGTCGGCAAATTATCTGAGTGGTCGACACTCGTCGGTAATGTTTAGAGACAAATCGAGCAAACTTAGAAAAATCAAACAGGGGGTTCCACAAGGTGGTGTCCTTTCCCCACTACTGTTTAACTTTTACATTTCAAAGCTCCCTCAACCGCCAGAGGGAGTCTCGATTGTCTCTTACGCCGACGATTGCTCGATCATGGAGACTGGAAATGGATTTGATGACTTGTGTTCGAAAGTAAACGGATATCTCTCTGACCATTCTCGCTTCTGCACTGCAAAGTGTCTAGCCCTCTCCCCTACGAAATCCTCTGCGACCCTGTTCACAACCTGGACGAAGGAGGTCAGGGTACCGCTAGGAATTCACGTCGATGACACACCAATTCCGACGGTGAATAATCCTAAAATACTCGGAGTAACATTCGACAGCCTGCTCTCCTTCTCTGCGCACACAACCGCTATTGTCAATAAAGTACAGAGCCGCAACAAGGTCCTCAAGTCGCTAGCCGGCAGTACTTGGGGCAAAGACAAAGAAACGTTGCTGGCAACATACAAGGCTATAGGCCGGCCGGTTGTAAATTATGCAGCACCAGTGTGGTCGCCGGGGACTAGTAGGACGCAGTGGACGAAGCTACAGACGGTACAAAATACAGCACTCAGGACAGCGACAGGATGCCTTCTGATGACACCAGAACACCACCTCCACGATGAGGCAAAAATGCTCCCAATTAGGGAGCACAACACGATGCTCTGCAAGCAGTTTCTTGTTGGGAGCCACAGATGCGGCCACCCAAATAGACAGCTGCTTGCAGAGGAGCCCTCACCGAGGCACGTCAGGAGGCATCTATATGAACTGACGGACGAAGTCCAGAGGTTCATTAAGCAACCTCTGGACCCGTCAGCTCATAGACAGGCCCTGAACGGCATTCTCAGGGACGCAGTCTCGAGTTATGTAGACTCAAGACCTGTGAATGCCGTTCTAGACACACAAACACCGGACATTGACATGACGGAGCTCCATCTGCCTCAGGAGACCAGAACGACAATAGCCCAACTTCGCTCTGGCTACTGCAGCAGGCTAAATTCCTACCTGTGTAGGTTAAATGCGGATGTGCCGAACGAATGTCCGGCATGCGGAGAGACCCCTCACGACTCGAAACATCTCTTCGCATGCCCGGAAAACCCCACAACCCTAACGGCGTCGTCCCTATGGACTGAACCCATAGAGGCTGCACGCTTCTTGGGGCTGCCGTTAGTGGAACTCGACGACAACGACTGAGATATCAGCCGATCTGGGCGGGGTTGTTGTAGCCGCTACAACAACAACAACAACAACTTATGTATGTATGCTGCTACAAGAACAACAACCACTTATGTATGTACATATGTGTGTGTATGCACTATATGCATGTATTTTGTATTTGCGAGTTTAAACATAAATGGATTTTAATGCAACAACCGTTAATTAAGGGCAGTCGGGTCTACGTCACCAAACGTCGCAGATTTATATCTGGCCAAGCACTGTCATCCCAACAGCATTCCGTAAATTATTTTGGCCAATTGCTATACTCTTATAATAATAACAACAGGAATAGGACTGACGTATAAACTTAAAATAACATGAAATTTTGATATGAAGAAATTGGAGGAAATTAAGTAGTATTTAAATGAAAGTGAAGAAAAGTACATTAAATACAAGTATTTTTTAAGCAAACAACCAAATCGACTTCAATTCTCATTTAAAAATTTAAGAGTGCCGTTAATTTCTACATGAACCAATTATCGGATCTAAACCAAATTAGTATGGGACCTGCTCGCAGGTACCATCTTTCCTTTAAAAAAGCATTATAGAAATCGGTTAACGTAGTCCAAAGTTGTGCAGTTAAAAAAATATATATATACATATTCCGACGAATTTATAACCTCCTACAATAAAATAAAAATACAATAAAATATAAATAAAACAAAATGAAACGAAATCGACCTCAATTAAGCGAAATTAAATAAAATACAATTAACGTAGAGTATGTGTTTATGCAGATACATATCGTCGCTGGAATAATGAAATAGTGTAACATGAAAAGTATAGTTTTGAGAAAAACGAATTGAAAGTTTTTATAAACCATTACAAACCATACAAATACAATTTCGTTTTTCGGGAATAAATTAGTAAACCAAAGAGATATTTAAGAAAACTAAAGATTTTTCTAATAGATTAAAGGATTGTCTATCCAATGGTGCAATTATCGAATAATAGTGTATGTGGCATTTACACTGTTTCTTCATTCGAGCGACGATATGTATGTAAAATGTAAAATGAAAAAAAAAAATTAAATTGAAATAAATGAATTAAATTGAGTTAAAATAAATAAAATAAAATCAAGCAAAATTAGATTGAACTAAATTAAATTAAACTAAGATAAACCAGACTTGTTTTTATAATGGACGTTGGGGTAGGGTTGCTACTCATCACATCATCATCACCGCTTTCGCATTTCACCAGAATGTAGCCATACTGTAAATGGCCACGCCTATTTAGAATGTACTTCCTTCACTTGTTGATCCTACATCTTCTCTCTTGCTTGGCTCGCATAATTGAGCTATTTGTTGGGCACAAGTTTTCCAATGTTCTGGGCTCGTTTAACTTAATGGTTACGAGATTTTCTGTACCTAATATTTGATCCAGATTTGCGTTGCATTTATTCCACCCATTTATTCAAGCGTAGCAATGA